TCCGAGGCAGCCACAGAAGCAGGGAAGTGCAAAAGCAGGCACTGAGGATAAATCCCATATTTGTAGCTGCTGCTGACTCTGCTGGAGGATCCAATGCTGGCATCTGCAAGCCATAACTCATGGAAAAAGTTACACTTTCCAGCTCTGCCATCTGATATTAACCTGCGTGCAGCTTATTTCCTATTCCATCAGCACTTGGGAAGGCTCTGCCTGGTGGGAGGCAGCTGCTCCTCTCCCAGAGGGACACTGCTGGGAGCCAGGGCACGGTGGCCACCAGCAGAGTCTCAGTGCCAGGACTGGGCCAGCAGGGAAGGTGCCCATCCACTGGGATGCAGCTATGGCTCAAAGAGGAACTTAGCCATTGCCTGTCACGCTGAGCTCACACTGAGCCTTGTGCCGTACCTGCAGGAGCTGAAGGAGCTGTGCTTGTCCCCTTCTGGTGTCCTTGATGCAGGAGAGCTGCTGGCAGACACTGAGGGCACTCTCCTCAGGTGACAGGGCCCATCTGCCAGAGTCTCCTACCCTCCTGGGAATTTCCCTTCCCACTCAGCCTGTTCCCTGGCTCTGTGGTTCTGTGAATTTGCCTGGTGGCTCACAGCACCAACAATGGGGGGCTCCTCCCCTGCCCTCCTGCCAGCAGCAAGGGCTTTGTTTGTGATATCACAAAATATTTGCTCTGTTTCAAAACAAAAGGAGAGGGGATGTCTCTGCCTGCTTTCCAAAAATAATCTTTGCAATCTTGTTCAAGTCCTAAAAGGGAGTTGCTGGGTTCCCTGCTGATGTGTTTGATCATCTCCTGTATTAAGTTAATGTCCCACTTATTTATTTTAATGACATGAGACCAGGGCCCAAGTATGAGGCATTCTTTACTAGTCACACCCTATTAAAACAACTGCTCAGGAACATGCTTTGCCTTTTCCCCCAAGCAGAAAGGTATTTGTGTCAGGATAGGAGGGATCAGTAAGTCATCAATATATTGACTGGACTGCCAGCAACTGCTTCACATCTAACATTGTACTTAAATTTAGCAACTCAGTGGATTGATTGTAATAACAAACACGTCCTTCCTAAATTTCCAGAAAAAGAGGAAAATAATATATTCACTACAGAACCTTATGGCTTTGTTCTGACAGAGAAGGAGATGCACTCAGGAATGCCAGCACAGTTTTACTGCCTTTTTTCACTCTAGCATTAATGTACTTAAAGTGAATTCAGATCAGGTGAGTCTATTTTCACCCACAAGTAAGCAAAGCCATATCTGGGGTCACAAAGAATAAACAGCAGATCTCCAATGTAGATTTTATAATACAAGTAACTTATTGTCATGCTATTTCATCTTAGCTGAACCACAGCACAAGATGATAGGCAGTTATTAAAGAAAAACTGGGTGGTGTTACATTTCCCTTTAAAGAATTAATATGTTTTATATTTTGGTAATGTTCTCTCTTTAAAACAAAGCAATTATCCTGCTAGTCCTCCCCTCTTTGGTAAATTCAGTGTGCAAAGTAGCAATCAGTTTTTACAAATGTTAAAGTAGCTTGGTGGATTTTATGGATGTGCAGTCTTTCTCTTCAAAATAAAAGCATCTATAGCAGTCTACAAGATGTTATGGCTCACTACATTTTTTAAAATACAGAACAATGTAATAATTTTTCTTTTTTCCCCATTATATTGCTCAGCACCTGATCTTTTCATCCTGCAGGAACATTCCACTATCCCTACACAATAATGTGCTGTTACTGGTCTAACTGGAAAAGATTTATTAAACTGACCAATTTTTAGAGAGATTTTTCAATGAGAATTGTGCAATAACTCATCTGATGCTGAGCAGCAGCATCTAACAAAGAGACACCGCTTGCAAAGCCGCGTCCACGCCCCGAAAGTTGCCCAATTCAGGATTCAAACAGCGAGGCTGGTCTCTCAGCATGGGCTGCTTTTGTGGCTGCTCTAACAGCCCATTCTGCTTTGTAGCAGCAGCTGCTGGGGTAGCTTCCAGCAGAGCTCTCTGGAAACCATTTCAATGGAAGTTTTTCCAGATGTAGGTGTGAGCGCGCCAAGCGCTCCGGCTCTCCAATGGAAAAAGCAAAGTGGGAGCTCACCCTGGGGCCTGAGCAGAGCTTCAGGCAGTGCCCAGCCCCAAAACCCTGCTCTGAAACTCTGCCATGGGTGCCCAGGGCTCAGTTTGGAGAGTGGCACCAAAATGTGGCCAAGTCTTCCTACCCCTCTTTCTCAAGTTTTTATTTTTCTCCCTCCCAGTATATAAATTGTCTAATAATCTGCATGGAGTGATTTCATTAAGGCTTCAGAAAAATTATTTAATACCCGTAATAAAGAAAAAGTACCTGCTAATACTGTACATTATATGTAATTACTGTCTCACACAAGGACAGAACAGACTGCCAAGCTATCCAACCACCAAATTATTTACCACAATGAGATGGGAGAGCCCAGTGAAATGGGATCTTATGGAATAAATAAATTCTGTAAAGGTGCAGCTTACCTAGCATTAAAGCATTTTTATAATATAGGCAGTTCTTAGGTTAAAGGAATTCCAAACTTTAACCCTTCCCCTCTTCAAAGAAACAGATGTTTAGCAAAGACTGATGTCAAGGTATTGCTGTACAATTAAGGTCTGTGTTACTCAGAGTAACACTATTTTTCATCTGTATATACTAGGGGGAAATATATATATTTGAATTTTCTCTATCAGTTTACTCCAGTGAGAGTCTAAGAAATCTGTATCATAGAATTGTACATTGTATTACCTTCACTGCCAAATTTCACTTGGCACCCACAGCAAAAAAGGACTGACAGCAACTCAAGAAACCACTGACATATTCAGAGAGAGGTTTTAATTAGATCCCTTCTTGGCTGAGCATCTTCTTGCATCCTGTTAGAATCTCTATTCCTTTGCTCTTCTCAGAGATATTTAGGCACAGGGAGTCACACAAATGCCTGATGGAGAAGACAGATGAGTCAAACTGTTGGAAAGTTCCCCGGGCAGCAGCTCAGATTGCTCACTCACTCCTCAGGCTTTTTCCTCCACTGAATGTCAGATGTGTCACTGATTTAGCAGCCACTGCCTGAAGAGATTTGATTTGTGCCACCATTGCCATCACTGATCTTCTTGGTTAATTCCTCTGCTTAAGTGATAACAGCAAATTGTGGCAGAGGTGGTCATGGAGCATCTCTGTGTCTTCACAGGATGAAGCAATGGCAGTAAGTGAAAGTAAAGTCAAAATTAAGAGAAAATTCAACCAATCTGAAGCAGCAGTTTCCAATTATGCAGAGAAGTTGTGTTTTTAAAAACTTGTATGAAGTAGCTGGGTCTCTTACAGGAACACTCTACAACTAAAGTAGCAAACAACCTTGAGCTGAAAATAATCAGCAGCCTCTACCCCCCTGCCTGTTCTGCAGGGCCACAAAAAGGCTGACAAAGCAAAGGTCAAACAACACACACCAATACACTGAAACATCAACCCACCATGGGTCCCCCCCTGACTCCTGACCCAAATCACATCATGACAAATATAAGGAAGAGGAAAATAGAAATTTCAGCAGGTTAGAAGCATTTTGGTTACAGTGTATTGCTTTTCCTATCAGGTTTATAAAATGTGAAGCAAATTCTATCTAGTATTAGGGTTCAGCATCTCTTAACTTTCTCACCTGGAAAAACTTTACCAAGCAGGTTTGATTCCAGCAGTAAATTCCTGCCACACCAGCCTCATATTCTGAATTGGAAATGGAAATCAAAACCAATACCAGTGGTTTGGGATAACTCAATAGCTGGAGATAACATCTTTCAAAACCCAGTGTTTTTCCTAGCTGAAGAAAAACTTTGCTCATTAGGCAGGTTGCTTGTTATTTTGTTGGCTGCAGAGATACATCAGGAAAAAGAGTTTTACCTTTTAAACTATTTAAATTTGGAGTATGAACAAACAGCTTTTATTTTCCTTTAATATTAAACTGTCCCTTTTAGAATAATGAGACATCCCCATATTTTCAATGCATCTTTAAAAAGTTATCACAACTGACAAGTGTGTCAAAACCAGGAAACTGAAATTTTGATGCACTGAAAACCAACGCATTTTGAGTGCCATTCCTCACTGCTCAGAGAAACACTTCAAGTTTCAGAGAAATCAGATCTTCACCATTGAGAGTTTTAACAGCAATACTGATTCACTTAATAGAACTTGAAAACATACTTTTTCTGACAGAGGCCATTTCCAGTGGAAACTATTTTGCTGATCACTTAACCATCTTCAGATTATGCTGTGATTTAGACAGTACTTTCCTATTCTTTCTTCCCTGTTTTGCAATATATGGAGAATGTGTGCTTTTTTCTCAGTGTATTAAAAATGGAGGATCTCTTTAGAAAGTCTCACTCTTTCACATAAACTCTCATTCTGACCCATTTGTTTAATTAAGAGAAAACTGAGTTAAAGGTATGAATATTTTCTTTGTAAATCAATTGCAAGGTTAAAGAGAAAAAGGAACTTCACAGTACACTGAGGGGTACCATGTAAATATATATGTGTGTGTGGGTGTGTATATATATATATATATATGTATATGCACATAGTATTTTCTATTAAAGATTTAAATGGTGTAAAACAGTTTTCTTTACCAGAAAAGGGTAAAAGTTAAGACATACCTTGGTCAAGTTCCAGGCTCCAAGGACAATTATGATGCTGACAGCTCGGGGAATTCCACCTTCTGTGCTGCTTTATACTCTGCCTCTGCCACTGCCTGTGGCACTCCACAACCACTGCTGGTCCCCAGGTGCTGTGAGCAGTTGGAATAAGGAATATGCCATGTTCTGCCATCATTTCTATTATCAGCCTGAAAGAGGTGAATCTTTGCTGGAATTAAAAATTAGGTTCATTCTTTGAATCAAAATTAGCCCAGCCTGAGGGCAAGGTATGTACAGACATTAAGTCCTTCTTCTTGGACAGTGCAGCCTTAAAAACATCAGACAGGAAGAAAGAGAAACATCTGCATTGATTTTCATTGTTTAATACTCAAGAGTGAAAAAGTGTAAAATCACAAAGCTTATACCACCACAAAAAAAAAAACGCAGTTTCATTGCAAATGACCAGAACACAAGCTGCCTGCAAAGTTTCACACAGCTGACATCAACAAACCCAGGTTCAACATTCTGACCGTCTTCTGAAACACCTGCTGTTCACAAACACCAGCAGCACAGAGCTCTCGCTATCTCACACATCCTTCTTTATCTTCTATGCTCCATTTGCTTCCTAGACCAGTGGTTCACACATTTGAAGAAACAGTGCCCCACTTCTGATCTATATCAGCATAGAAACACGTAGTTTTCACCCGCCCCAAAATGCTAATTATATTTGAAAAGCGTTTTGTTTAATCCAAACTCAGCGGTAAAGTTTTTATTTCTATTAAATAAAAAGCATAATATGAGTAAGCTTCAGAAGTGCATGCTGACTGAGGGTGTGTCACCAATCTGCTCAGCCACAGGATCTAATTCCCATGCAGAAAGTGATCACCTTGGGTGAGTTAGTACAGCAGGGAGTAGGTTGTGTTTGCTCTCATTAGTAATTCATGGACCTACAGCCCCCATTCTGCACATGCAGCCACGAGGTGTGCTGAATATGACTGTCCACCTAAATACACTCTCTTGTCTGAAGGTAGAATTATCCAAAGTTACCACTATGTCTAAATGTCTCAGGTTAATAAGAACTAAGTGGAAAATGGGTTGCTTATATTAAAACCTTTATAAAACTTAAACTTTTATATGTGAGGCAACTTTGTTTTCACAGCCTTTTTTAATGCAAAGGAACTGTGCCTGAAATGTTAAAATCTTTGTAATGTCATGCTAATGCACATTTCCAGTTCTCTACAATAACCCAGCTTCCCAATAATTGATTAAAATCCTGCTCTTAAATAGAAATACAGTTCACTGAACGAATTTTTCCTCCAGACTATCAAAACAGAAACATATCTTGGCATAACCTACTGCATCTGACAGTGATGTGCAAAGGAATTTCTGAAGAGCTGTTGTTGCCTCAGTGGAAGCAACACTGATTTTTAATTTTTTTAAATCCTTCAATGCTAAGGGCATTGCTACATTTTATGAGTCACTTGCTCCTCACTGGTTTATTCCCTCACCTTACATTATAATCCTCTCAGCAGGTGAAGATAAACAGAACAGTTTTGGCATCACTGTTCCTAAGGAGCACCTGAATCTGTCAAAGATTCCACAATGTAACAATAAACAGGCTTGGCATTGTAAGTAGCTTTTTGTTGATTGCTAAATATATTTTCTGCAGATATTCTTGTGTCTGCTTTACAGAGAATGGTAAGCCTTGAATAAAATTTCAAGAAAACTTACACTCATTATTTTTACCTCTGTTGCTTGCTACAGACCTGACTTCTTCCTTCATGCAGTTATTTGATACTTGAAGTACAGAATCTGATTACTGGCAGCATGGCATCTAGCTGGAAAATTCTGGCTTATACATGATTATTAAACACGGAGATGTTGCCACCTTTAAAAACATACAATCAACTAAGGAAACAAAAATATAGGATGAGATTAGAAATATTATAATAATTAACATCCTATTTATAAATGGAAGCACAAGATCTTTTCTGAGCATATAAGAATAATTTTGAAAAAAATATTATCTATTACACAGTGAACAGTATAAATAAGCTTAGATTACATGTCTTTAGTGCTTCTACACAGCTCAGTTTCCTATTCATTTTCCAGCTTTTGGTGGAACTTCCAATTTCAACAAATGATTCCAGACAAAATGAGGAAAACATTCAGAAAATTTTGCAGTGCAGACAAACCTCATGAGTTAATCTTTGGAACATTAATAGCTTTGTACAGTTTCAAACTTAGTAAAATAAGGCACACATGGATTAAACTGTCCTATATCTGGAAGAGCAGGATATGTCAGTCAGCACGGAGCTTCTCAGCTTTGCATTTACATTCATAGTATAAAGCAGCAGTCAGCTTTGAGAAATCTACTTCTGTTAATAGTAAGGAATCTGAAAAGTGACTAGTCATGCCAGACTGAGATAGTCTAACTGGAGTCTAAGATGGATCAGCACACACAAAACTAGGCTTACATAACCACAGGAAAAAAATCTGGGAGTCAGCACCGGCCGGGCTGGCGCTGCTCAGCCCCCCGAGCCAGGTGTGTGTCTGCTCTGCAGAGGTGGGCACAGTGAGTGTGTGCTTGTGTTTGTGAGCGTGTGTGTGCAGAAACAGCAGCTTCTCACCTCTGTTTGTTACTTCCATACGTGCCCAGTATGGTATTTCTTACCCCAGTGACAATATTTTGGCTGCTATTTTTGTTACTGCCAGCACCGCCCAGGTCAGGCCAGCCAGTGGTGCTGTGCTGGCTTCCCAGCTGAACTTATAAAGTCACTGAATTATAAAGTGAAATTATGTCCTTCATTCAACCAATGTGCAATCCAAGTGAAATTAGCTTATTTGCAAACAATTTAAGTAGAAGGCAACTTTGGCCTGAGGCACGTGTTACATTCAGAGGGAAAAAAAGGAAGAAAAAGAAATTCAAATCTCAGGTTGGGTTTGCAGGGGGAGTGATTGAAAAGGACATCTTGTTTGTAAACAAAGGATTATCTGGGAATGAGCTGACACACAATGATCATAAGTGTCATCAATGTCATTTGTAAAAGTTTCCTTCAAACAGGACACATATCAGCTAATTTCACTGTGTTAGGAAATTAGGCACTATGTAATCATGTTTGACACTTCACACTTGCCTTTAGCAATACCTAGTATCAGGTAACCCATGAATTGCAAAGTAAGTTGAGGTTACTAATGTACACAGCCACTGAATCTGTAAGGAGTTCTCCTTACCTCAGTGGGAACACTATCCAGTCTAGTTTTTAAATTTGTTTTCTTTTTAGAGATATTAAATACACTACTGTCTAACCATACAATCCACTATTTCCCACCTGGGATTCTGTGAGAAATTCTTACCTCAGTGTTACCTCTTTCTTTTTTGCACACTGCATTCAAGCTATAAAAATAATGTCACTTTTGTCAATTCTTGCTATGCTTAGTTTGATCCTACTGGATCATATTTAATTTTATAGCTGTAATAACTGTCTCTTATAAAGTATTCATTAGGTATTGCATATAAGTACACAGAAATGGAACTGAAAATCAGCTACTACCACTCATTAGTCTCATATTCTGTTAAATTTGTGGTTAGTAGCTTGAGATTCAAATAGAATTGCATAGTAATATTGTAGCAACCAAGTACAATACAGTATTAAGAAAAAAATCATTTGAAAAGTCCTATTCAAGCACACATTCAATAGCTGATGTGCTATAAAACAAACAAAAAAAACCAGAATCCTCTGAATTCCCCAGTAGCAAATTTCTGTTTCTATGGGTGGAAAAATCTGAAAATATTAGACACAGAACTCTGAGGAAAAAATATTAATAGCATGATCTCTCCCAAAAATAAAATTTCCAATAAAATAAAATGTGCTGAATAGTGGCTTAAATTCAATACTTCTCAGTCCACCATTAATAATCGAAATAGTTTGAGTGTTTCCCCATCCCTTTTTTTCTCTTTAAAAAAAAAGGATAATAAAAAATACGTATAAACAAGCCGCTACTTAGGCTTCATCCCAGAGTCCTTTCAGAACCACTGTCCATCATTATCATTCTCCTCATCATCTTCCTCCTCGTGGTCCAGGTAGAGAAAGGCGACTTTCTTCCCTTCAGAAGTATCCGACCTTTGGTCGACTGTTCTTTGCACCTGCACAGTTTGATCAAAAAATGACTGTTCCACCACCTTTCCACCCTGATCTTGGGAAAAACTGGAGAGAACGTAGCCACTTCTTGTGCCTTCATTTCCTGCAAGCTGGTTGCTTTCAACCATGACCTGTGGCTGCCTGGCAGAAGGCTCTTGCTGGCTGGACACCAACGTTGCCCCTTGATGTTCTCCACTCTTCACTGCAGATACTCCACCCAGATTGGAAACATCCATTTGGAAAGTGTACGCTGTTTCCCTGGAGCCTACTTTAATATGCTTCACAGAGCTGCTGCTCTCAGATGACTCTGCTATTTGTGAAAGATCTTCCACCATTCCAGCAATGGGTCCTGAGAAGATGATTTCCTCAGCATGAGTTCCTGCAGGACTTATTTTAACATGCCTGAAAGCTCTTGAGCCTCCTGAAAGGGTCTGGTCTTCCAGTTCAGTGATTTCTGTGTGCTCAGAGGCAGGACCCTGGTAGATGATCTCTTCAGCTGTCATAAATCCCTGGGGACCCATCTGGATTTGTCTGACTGAACTTTCTGCCTGTGAGAAGTCCCTCGTGCTGCTGACCTCCACTTTACCGGAGATGGGTCCTTCAAAGATAACGTGCTCAGTGTGAACCTCTTTTGGGCCCAGCCTGAAGTGCCTCATTGATCTGCTGACATCCACAGCCCCTTCAGCCTGGGAAAGGCCATCTGAGCTATTGAGTGCCAGGGAGTCCGAACCAGACCCCTCAAAAGAGACTTCTTCAGTCACTTGCCTTGATCCTACTGTGACACGTCTTGTGGTCCTGCTGAAGTCTGTTGAGACCTTCTGAGAAAGATTTCCAGAATCCATCTCTTCTACAACTGTAGTAACAGGGCCTGTAAAAATTACTTGTTCTGTGGTTTGGATTTCGTTGGGGCCCAGTTTAAAGTGCTTCACAGATTGGCTGAATTCTGACAGTCCCTCTCTCTGAACAAGATCTTCTGCAGCACTGAGCTCCAGCGTTTCAGAACCAGGCCCCTCATACAGGACCTGCTCAAACCTCTGGACTTCTGCTGGGCCAACCCTGACATGCCTCTGGGACTTGGTCTCATCAGCTGATTGTGATGAGTGAGAGGCCTCTCCATAATCTGCAGTTTCCGAAACGGAACCGTCATAAACAACCCTTTCAGTGGTGTGATAGCCAGTGCCACCACTCCGCCTCGTCGTGGATGAGCTGTAGATCTCTTGGTCAGCAAAAGGAGTGTATTTGTCACTATGGGAAGAAACTTCTACACTGCTGCTATCTGAGCTCTCTTTTTTCAGGGAGTGTATTGTTGCCTTCTCCTTCTCGCTTTTGATTACTTCACCAAGTTGATCTACATCAAATTCATCAGTATTAAGGGTCTGGGACAAATTAACTTCAGCGACAATGGTCACTGAGCCTCCCTCCTCCTTCTGATCAACTTTTTTGATATCAAATGCCAAGTTACTAGCATCCACTTTGTTGTCTTTTGTTATTGCAGAGAGCTCCTCTTTCACACTTTCTGGGAGACTGCCCCCCAGCTGCTCCAAAGCTTCCTTCAATTGATGTTTAGGGTCCTTCGTTTCCTTGGATAAAAGCCCTTTTATTGAAGTCTGAAATTCATGGGGAATTTTAATTTCTTTTTCAATAACAATGGATTCAACATGGGATCTTTCACCTTCAGGATGCTCTTTTAAAATATGGGCACTTGCTTCTTCCCCCACCACTTTATAGGTTTCTTCTGGAGACCTCGCACCTTCCTCTCTCTTACTTTGTGTGCCTTGCAAAAATTCATCTTGCCAAGAATATTTAATAGTTGATTCTTCTTCAATGTGAATTTGCCCATATATTGAGTCATCATCTTTTTCATTAATAATAGGATGCTCATCAGGAACAGACACAAAATATTTCTGTTCAATAGGTGAGTCATCTTCCTCTGTTACTTCTTCCACGTGAGTGAAGCTCTCATGGCGTGGCTTCTTCTTTTTGACATCTTCATATGTGAAGGTGATGTTTTGTTCCTCTTCACCATAATGCCTCTCCCTCTCAGGGAATGAATCCTCCACTTCTTCAACTTGGAAAGGTGTTGAAAAATCAGTCCTTTCTTCAGTGGTGTAATCCAGTGGCTCCTCTACAATCTCCACATTCACAGACACGTTCTTTCCGCTCTCGCTTTCTTTCAGGCCGTGATGGACAATATCTTCTATCTCCTCTTTGGAAGGAGTTCCCTCAATGCCCTCTCGAATCACTTTTCTAACATCCTGGTTTGATAGATGCCCTAAGTCACCTTCATCAGAAATAGCTATGTCTCCTTGAACTTGAGACTGCACTGTGAACTCAGTCTTTAATTTCCCTTCATCTTCTTGCTCTTTCTTGTCAAAATAGGTCACTTTGGTGTCTGTTGACATCTGTGAACTAGAAGACTGTGTGAAACTTTTAAGAATGTCAGCAACAATATTCTCTGCTATGTTTTCAGTTGGCAGAGTTCCCTTTCTGTGGCTCTCATCCCTAATTTGCTCTTGACCTTCCAGACTGGACTCTGCTTCTGAAATCCTCAAATGGTGAGTTTCAGCAGACTGAGTTACATGTTCATCTGTTTCTCTTCCTATGGAAGTTTTAACACCTTGTACCCTTATTTCTTTATTTCTCTGAGGCTCTTTGTCAGGAGCAGGCCTTTCAATACTGATTGGTACCTCAATGACGTCTTTGCTTCTTGATTCAGAGGTCACAGTTGCATCTTTTTTGGTTGCTTCACTTTTCAAAGTTCTTGAAGTAGAAATATCACTCCCTGTTACCTTCTGGCTAACCTCCTCACGGATATATTTTTTCTGCTCAGTCTTCCTCCCAAAATCGACAGTTTCTTCTATAAGAGATTTCTCATCCGTTTTCTTTTTCTCATCCTTTGTTTGTTTCTGCAGCTTATCTTTTTCTTTCAGCAGAGATGTCTTCTCATCAGTTGGTTTGCTGTCTCCTCTTTTGTCTTTCAGTGTGGTCCGAGTTTCAATTATAGTTTCCTCATATCTAGTTGGCTTTGCATTGGTAATCAGCTCATAAGCTGGAAATCTAGTGAAGCCTGGTTTACTTCTTTCAGCATCAGGCTTGTGGTCCTTGTCTGATCTTTCAGCATGTGCTGATTCTTTCGAAAAAGATACTGTGGATGAAGTTGTAACTTCTGTTTTCTTCCTTTCTGGAATCCTCTTTTGCTGCATTTCAGTGCTTCTCCAGCTACTGTAGTCTGGAGTAAATGTTCTTAGTTCTTTGTGGTCTGTTACAATCCTTTCATCCTTTGTGACAGTCGTTGAAGGGCGATACGTTGAACCAAGCAGGTCCCTTCCAAAAGTTCTTCCCCCTGTTGTTGTGTGTGATCCAGCCTGTGTGGAGTGGGCTGAGTAATGTGCAGAGCTGCTCATATTTGTCACAGGCATTCTGTGCCTCGTGTCAGTGATCCTGGCACCTGGTGAAGCTTTACTTCTATTTCTTTCTTGATAAGTAGAGTAAATATCAGTGTAGTTATAGGAAGTGTTTATAATATCTGCAAAGAGAGAACAGGTGACCAAGAATTAAAATAATGGTTTGTATCTAAAATACCATCAAATACAGGACATGAACTACAAAAACATGCACTATGTTTTTTGAAAGAAGGAGTATCTTCATTTTCAGTGGAGATTTGTAAAGGCATTCCTGCAGATTTTACTTGTTAATTAAGTCTGTGCATAAATTACATTAAAGCTGAAAGCAAAGCTTTTTCTCAAGTTGCAAGATCTTGCTAATTTTACCTGTTGTGCACTACTGGCTATTGTGGCATTTACTGAGGAATAACACTTTTTGTATTTATACCAATGTTCATTTACAACTTCGTATTAAATAATGTATGTTAATATCACAGGCTGCATTTTTTGTTTCATTAGCCTAAGTGGCCTGAAGTTTTTTAGTTCCTATTGACATTTAATGGCACACCTGCCACCACATACTAGAAACTGCAAACACAAACACAACCCTTCACAGCCACACAGTAAAGCACAACAAGGGAGAGAAACCAAGAACCTTTTAGGCTCTATCTATAGAAATCCATACAAATGTGCCAGGAATATCTGACAGTTAAGACCAACCAGTACTGCACCACTCACATCTCTCACTCCTGAAAAGCTACCACATCTCCTCTGACTTTTGGTAGTGCCTCCTGTATTATTTCTGTAATTCCTTCCTCGTTCTGTGAATATGCTGAGCATTGTCTGCAGAAGTTCTGGCTAGTCCAGATCCAAGCTCTGCTGTCCAGATGCAGGCACAGTGCTCACAATTTAACAGCACAGGCAGATCTCTGTGAGCATTTCAGCCTGAGCCTCTTGCATTTCCTGCTACACACACAGCCTTCAAATGTCTTCTGGGACTACAGCAATGACCCCACATTGCTAAACTCCTGAGTATTATCCAGATTAATTCTGTTATTAATTGCAATGGCCACAGCAGTCACAGTGAAGGTCCATCTTATGTAAAATCCTGTTTGAAGGGACCAAGAGTAGATACACAGGGAAGAGTATAAGAACAGGGCAAGTAAATAGTGATACTTCCCTTGTATACTCTCACAGCCTCCAGAGATTTGCAGCTCCTAAGATAGAAATGGTATCTTTATGTTTAGTAAGTCTTTGATTTGTCTTTCATTACTCTGCTAAAATATCTCTTTAACCCCACGTGAACTTTTTAACACTCACAGTGCCTCAGGATGATGAACTCCGTATTTTTAACTACATGTGCTGTTAAACACCTCTTGCTATATATTTCAGAACTCTCTTAAGACCTATGGGCATCCAAAAGTTCTTGAGAGCTACAAAACATCACTCCCTACGTTCTCCACTCAAGCTATGATTTTATAAAGTATCTCATATAGAAGAGCAATATGCTGATTTAAAATATTAACACTCAAAACTAATTTAATATTCACATTGCAACACACCCATAAAAATATACATCAGGAACACTATAATATAATAATTTCCAGTTATACTTAATTCAAAATTAATTTTTAATATTCATATTTTACCTTCAGACAGTTTCCCTGCAAGCTCTTCTCTCCATATAATCCACGGCTTGCTCTCCCCTTCTAACAAAGCTCTGCAAAACACAAAGGGCATTTCATTACAATACTGGGAACAATAAGCTTTATATTTTACATTTAGAAGTCTTAGAAATTGAAACAATTATCCTGTAGTTGCCACATTCCACTATCCCAGGTTGCTCCAAGCCCCTTCCAACCTGGAACACTTCCAGGGATGGGGCAGCCACAGCTTCTCTGGGCAAGATGTTTCATAAGAAAACACAAAAATGAAAAAAAAAAAATACAGCAACCTTCATGTTTGTAAAAGAGTAGTAAAGGTGATGCTGAAGTGTGGTGTGAGGGAACTGTTACAGGAGGATTTGCAAGTTCTATCATTTTCAAATGAAAAATGAAGGAAAGTATAACTTCTACTGTCAAGCACAGTGCTGAAGGAAACAATTTACAGTGTTAAATTAACTATTCTTGGTTCCTATTCCATTGGAAATCAGCACAACACATTTCACAAAAAAGGAGTAGGGAAATTCTGTGTCAGAAACTGTTTGGTTTCCTTTAATGCCCTCTCTGTCTGTCCCTGTCCCTTTTGGCAGTGACACTCCAAGAGCTCCCACACTTCCAGGAAGTGCAGGTGCAGCAGCCTGGAAATGCCACATCAGGGTCATTCCCTGTGCAGGGCAATGTCACAGTCAGCACAGGAACCTAGGTGGGTTTATGCTGCTTCTACCAGCCAGTTGCAGCATTTCTGGGTTTGGGAATGCCAGATGTTCTGCACTGATAAGACACAGCTGCAACATCAAAGCTGGCAAGGGTAATGCTGGAGGACTGTGATAGCCAAGGCTTCTGACTCCCTGGGCAGGAGTTGAAAGCCACTTAGGACTGGGGTACAAACACCTCTGCTGGACATTTATGTCAAAACTAACAAAGCAGGTGTTTTAAGCATCACCTGTATATTTCACACTTCCCATGACTGATGGCTTTGGCACCAGCAAAATATCATTAGCGAGGTTTTCTTAGCCTTGATGGATTTGTCTAGATCCAGAAGAAAAGCTGGGTTAGAACTACCTAAAACAGGCTCAGATGGGCATCTTTCCTTCTATTTTGTGAGCTGAAAAAACCCACAGTAAAAGCAATTTATCTTTCTCCAAGCTGGGAGAAGCTTCAGAGGAATTAGATCCCTTCAACACATGTAATGTTCCCAAGACCAAACATCTGATCTGATGAAGCCAGTGAGTGCCAAACAAATTTCTCTGACAGACCTGCCAGAGAAGCTGGTGGTGACGCTGCAGAAACACATCCAGGAGCTGGCAGTGAAAGCGTTAACCATGACGAAGGAAAGCAGGAATGTGGGGAGTTTGACTAAGGATTTCTGGCTGCTGTTAAAACAACAGTTGTTCAGTTGCTGCAGCAACGTATGAAGTCACTAAAAATAAGTTCCAGGAGGTAACTGTATATGGCAAAGGGCAGCAGCCCACAGAAAAGCTGGATCTGAAGTATTACTACTGAAAGTGAAAGGCAAAGCTTCCTGAAACCTCTGTAAAACTGGACACAGAATCAGTATTTTACTGGGCACTTCATCATATGCATGACCTCACGCTTATCAGAAAACCAAGAAAATGTTAAACTGAGCTTGGCTTACTAAACTGGCACAAGAAAGGGCAGCGTACTGTACTGAGCCAGCAAACTCAGCTTGTGCTGCTCAGCTTGACCACAGCTTGAGTTTATGCAAGTCATTTTGCTTCTCTATTCCTCTGCATCCTTTCCTAATAACAGCCTCTTGGTGGTAAAGTCTGCTTTTAATCTTAAACTGCCCAAAGAATTAATTTCAACTGTATGAACTTTTAAGCACTCGTAGTAATAATAAAAAAACACTGCCCCAAGCAGTAGTCTTCTAAAAAAAATAACCAGGTCAAAAAAATAACTTCCTGGAAATCAGGCTCCAAATGACATATACTCCCTTTTTGCTAACACTTAAATTAAGTGTTACCAGAAAATAATCCAACTGCACCGTTAGCTCATCTCATTATTAATGTCATTTATCTAAAGTTAGCAGGGACATGCTCGTCAGCCTGTGTTGGATGACAACAGAAACAACCAGTCCATGAGAGCAGGAGGAGGAGATAAAGTGGTTGGGGTGGGGAGAGAGAACAAAAGGATGTAGTGAAAATTTTATTATGGGCATTCGGGATAGTAATGACTTCATTTCAACTACAGAAACCCAAAATCTCAGATGGGGCAGTTGGCCAGCAAGCCAAAAAAACTCATCCTCTCTAACCTGGATATTTGCTAAGAAGTTACAAAAAAATCCCACCTCTCCAGGAAGGGGGGTCAAGGCCATTCCACATCCTTTTTCCATCCTCCCAGGATGGGAGGACAAGGAGTGTGAAGAACAGCAGGTAACTGCATGTTAAATTCCCCAGGTGTTGAAAACTCAGTGTTGTTCTCAAAATAAAACCCATACAGGAGTAGAGCCTAGTGGATGGAACAAGTTATGAAGGAGAAGTAACGAGACTGACTGAAAAAGCTGTGGTGAGTAGCTCAGAGGAGCTTAATGCTGGTGATGATTCTGTGAGAGGAAGGCATGGAAAGGGTCAGAAGTGCTGATGGAGGAACACAAGTCCAAGTTCACCTGGCAAGTGTGTTCAGAGATCCTAACAATGACCATGGAAATAAAAAAGAAAAAATGTGTGTAGCCTTTGGTGCTTCAGAATGCAGGGTGGTAACCTGAACAGAACACTTGTATGGCACTGGAATTTCAAAGCGAAATATTTTACCCTTGAACAACATATTTTAGAGAGGACAGAAAAGCTCCTGAACCTATTGGTACAGGCTCTGGGCAGCCTCTGCTATGTGAAGAGAAGTTTCTGCTAGCTAAGAAGAAAGGCCTGAGAGTAATTCAGATTCTAGGCAGGTTTTCCATCTCCTTTTAAAATCAAGAGTTTTACAGGGTGACTAATTCACCACTTCTCTCTGGAAATAAAACCTAAGCATAGTTAAGTAGCTGTGGTTTTGAAGGATTCCAAGGACACAGAACAAAACTGTGAGACACTTGATAAACATTTACTTCAACAGTGAGAAAAGGGCTTAGGAATGAATATTCCCATGAGGTGTAACTCCACAAAGCCACATATTTCTCTTCCTGAGTGAATCTCGGCTCCCAGAGCAGGAAGGGTGAGCAGAGTCAGAGAGGAAATCCACTTGGACCTTAAGGAAGGGTGTTCCTTGCCACAGTGATCCTTCTTCCCACTCCAGGAGCAGTGGTGACTAATGGAAAGACCTGACCTTGTAACAGAACTGAAGGAGTTGTGAAACAAAGAGAAAACACAGAGTGGGAGGTAAAAAGAAGGCTCCAAGACCAGCTACAACACCCTTAACCTATAGGGCCAGGAGGAAAGGAAATGCCAGGGCCTTGGTGGGAAGCTCTCCATGGAAAGTTCAGGATGTTGGACTGAGTGTGAATGGGTGCCTTTTGTTTCCAGTATGCATAAGCCAGGGTATATGCCAGCATCCTCTGTGAAAAGCAGATGAAGCTGTGTTCACATGCCCTTTTTTTCACAGGTAAAAAGACCTGGGAGAGGAACAGGATTTGAAAAAGCACATGAGGGAGCTGTCCAGAATTCTCCTACTTGACCTTACTGACTGGGTGCCCTCCCACAGCAGGGTTGATAGAGACACACAAGAAGGAAGGAACTATTTTCTTTCATAAAAGGAGAAAAAGAAGAGGAATAGGTAAAACTGCATAAATGTAAAACCACAAAACAATAGCTTTTCAGCTTCTGATATTTTAAAATAATTTTGTTTGTTAGCATTTGCATGTTTTTTATCTGTAGCAAGGCCCATTCTCTTGTTCTCATCTCATCTTCAGTGGGCAGATGCTCATTTTTCCTCTGACATCTGCCTGCCAAGGCCATCAGTGACCCAAGCTGCATTCACATCCACCAGATGAAGAAACCCTACAGATTAAGGAGCTCTTAACTGGACAAGAAACACACTGCAGGTGATGCTGAATTGTTCTCCTTTCATTAAGCAGGGCAGGGAATCCTTAGACAAACCAATAATGCTCAGATAACTCTGGAGAAATTCCAGAATTTCATGGGCTTACAAGGTTTTCAAACAACTGAATATCTGGGCATTATCATTCCTAGTTCTGGATGAATACTAATCATCAAAACAACTCTGATAATTCTGTTATTGTGACAGTGCTAATCCTGTTTTGCAGACGAATAAACCAAGGGAGAAAGTTTAACGACAGCAGTGAAAGTCAACAACAGAGCTGGGATTAAATTCAGAAGAAACATGTTTTTTAGCAAAGTTAACAGAACTAACACACACAGATAAGGATCACAACTGGCTACCACTTCCACAGTAATGCTCCAGACACTACTGGCTTTCCAAGGATCACAGGGATCCCACTTCACCAACAAACATCAAGCAACATACTGCTGCTTATCAAGTGACTGCAGATTACTTGTTCCCCACTGTTTGTGATTTTATCTCATCCAGAAACCAGCCTTGGTTTGTGCCTCCTTGCACTCATTCTCAAGCCTTGAACAGAGCCTTAGTGCTCTTTCATGAAGATATTCTCTGCTCACTACTCCTTATCAAACTCCTCAGAAGTTATTTCAAGTTTCTCATGTTTTCAGTTATGCAACTGAAATTAAATTTCAAATGCATCAGTGGATTGATAGTCCACACACCTCACCCATAACTCAGCTGGTGCTGTCTTTATCCAGACTTACTGGCTCACACTCAGGACACAGCATTAATGCTTCAGGACACAGAAGCACATATTGTATTTAACTGGAAATACCCCATCTATTTACACTGGTTGAATATTAATAATGCAGTCAGTGTAGACAAGGTAATGTCAGAGGCAGTCTCCTCAAAAAAATAGAGAAGTAGCCTGACATTAAATTTTTGCAAATTTTCCCTTTGCTCATTAAGAATTGCACATCTCTCTGTATTTGAAGATCAGTATCTTGAAATTTATGGAAAATATTGTGCTGTTTGTAGAAAAAACACATCATCTTTACAAGAAGGAAGGACCTTCCTCCAGTTCATCAGTTTTGGGTTATTTAGGATTTTTTTCATTCCAAATCAGTTTTGTGCCATGTACATAGTGATTCTTGGCTTTTCAACCCCACAATTACTTAGTGGCTAGAGAGAGGTACAGTCCTGAAGATTCATTAGCAGAGATGTTGTTTGCTCTTATCTCACACTTGATCTAAACATGTTTTCATAACAAATCAAGGATGGAGAAAGCCAGGACTTAATCAAACAGACTTTTCTCTTGTTTTTCCACTATCCTACAACTGCAACAAGGATGTGGAACTCACAGCTTACAACAGTGCTGCAGGTTGTCACTAATCAACATACTTAAACAAAGAAATGTGCCATGTAAGTAGATGGCAACTACATAACCTCAAGTTTTATTGATTGCCATTTAGGGATATTGTCTCCTCAGCTTGTAATCAAATATTGCCCCAAAAATCCCCATCAATCTGATATCCACTTGACCAGGACTAAGAAGGTTTCTTCCATACCACCATATTTGTACCAAGTTAATGGGATTCCTATGAATTATATTGGCTTTAGAGCCTTGAGACTCCCACATCTATAAAAAGGGATTTAAATTATCCTCTGTCTAGACAATAGTGTGATCACAAATCTTACCTGTAGGTTTCAATTTCAAGGATGAGGCCTGCTTTCACCTGCAGGAGTTCTTGGTAGTCCCTCAGGTAATCTGTGATTGACATGGTCAGGAACTGCTTTTCTTCTTCCAAGGCGTCAATTATTCTCTGAACAGAAACAAATTATTTTTAGTTTTGAAAGAACATAAAGATCTGTACACTTCAATGCCTTAAAACATGAAATTTTTAATTAAAAAAAAACCCTGATACACAAATACATCAATGCTCTATTGCTTCAAAAACCAGAAGAAATGAGCTCCATGACCTCCCCATATAACAAGCTGAAATAAATTGTTCCTGAAGCAAGTTTTATGCCAAGTTCATTTTATTTCTTACTAAGCTGGTTAAATTATTTCAGTTAAACCCATTCAGATGCCCTGTGCAAAAGTTATTACGCACACATAGCAAGGAAAATACACTTCTTTATAAGATTTATATGTGACTAATTTGGCCATTTTAAGACATGCTTAAATCACATTTGAGATCAGAAATTTCAGCAATTGTTTTGCCATGAAAGCCTTATTTCAGTTCCAGTATTTTCAGTTCCACAGATGTTTTGGAATTAGAGCATCTGAAGACACTCACAGTGCCCACAAGGTAAAAGATGAACCTCCAGGGGTTCCTTCAAGTTCTCTACAGGATTTGGATGCCTGCTTTGAGGCCCACCCAGCTCTGTCCTAACTGCTGCTCAGAAGATGGATAAAAGATTGCTCAATTTCATCTCAATAGCCATATATGACCTTATGCAACACAAATAAATATAAAAGGTTATATATATATATATATATATATACACTAAATGGCAGAAGGAAAAAAAGAGTAGAAAGTGCTTTAATCACTGTTGTTACCTCTCACATGAAGGGTGAATTGTCATTTATATATATTTTTTTTTTTTTTTTTTGTACCAAATCTAACCTTGCTAACTAATACGCTATAGATTGCACTTAGTTCTGGGGGCTGGCAAGACATAAATTAAATATCAACCAAGGCCCAATTCTGTTCTGTTCACATCACTCTGCACTATGCAGGAGCTCTGAAATGTCATTTACAGAGCAAAACCTCATACACATGTACAACACTGAACAGGAATTCACAACAGTGTGTTTTAGATTTCATCCTGAAAACTGCTTTGCAACCAAACTGGAAAATCAAAGCACTGATGGTTTAGTTTTAAAAAATTCAAAATATATCACTTATAGGCAGCAAGTGCTCCAGTATCACAGTATGAGCAATAGCATAAAAATGAAGATACAGCAGGGGACTCTGCTGCTAATGCCAGCATGATGTGCTAGGCTGAAGTAAGAACTAAGAATATAAAGTGCTGGCATGTCAAACATTAATAGTTTTGGGTTTTTTTAAGTAAAACTAAAAAGAAAGCTCTATGAAGGAAGCTGCCTATATTTGCCTTTACACGTGGGTACAGTTCTCTATATAACATAAATTTCCTTCTTCATTTGCCTTTGCAGCTCTTGCTAAAGGATTACACTGATGTTTCCCTTGACATGACAACCCTTGCCTACAGTCTTCAGTGTACTTAAAATTCCCTTTTTATGGCAGAAGACAAATCATATCTGCATATCTGAAAGAGCACCACAAACCCCCAACAGCCTTCTGCTGGAGGCACCATCCCGTGGCCAGGCAGACCTTCAGCAGCTCTGAGGTAACAATCCTGCTCAAGAACAGCACAGACACAATGGAAAATCCCGAGGGGAGAAGGGAAGAAAAGCACAAGTACTGCTTTTAAAAGGAAAAGGATACACAGCAAGAATGGCCAGGGCGCAACAGAACCAGAAGTCAGCAGAAGGTGCAGAAGAAAACCAATCCCTAAGAGCTCTGGTACAAAAGTTAAATGATTCAGACATTTCTTGCCTCTATAATTAAACACAGAATAACCTATACATGTGCATGCATTCCTTAAAAAGAGCTTTAAATGTTGCAGTCACAGGAAAATCCATACAGGAAATTTCTACACTGGACTACAGAGTGTGGGGAGCTCTGAAAGACAGGGGCTGTTCAAACCTATCTGAGAACACAGGAGCTTCAGTCCCTGACCCCCAAGTTCTCCAGTCTGGGTTTGAAAAGCCACCTGGATTGTGCCCATGGGGCTGCAGAGCACTGGGGATCCAAGAGCTGGAGTTAATGATTACCATAAGGGGCCACATAACCCAGCCAGCTGTGCAGTAGCTCCAAAGGAATTAATTCCTCTACAGACTGGGTGGCAGACAGCCAGACACCCAGCCCTCCATCACTGATGCTCAAACATAAAGCAGAAGACAACTGGTCTCAAGTGCTGTCTCCAAGCACACCAAAAAACACAGAAACCAATCCATCAAAGTCCAGGAGACTGCGAGCCAACAAATCCATTTTGCAAAAGGTAACCTCTACTTGGCAGATCTGGTGTTTTCTTCACACAGGACTCTCTTGGAAAGATCTGCTTCCCAGCCACATCAATCACAGCCCCCAAATCCCAGTGATGTGCTGCTAGGACTAAGTGAAGGAATAGAAACTGCTTTCTCACCCTTCATGTGTTCCTTTCCAGGCAGCACTGGGAAATTTTAGAAGGGCAGCAGAGGGGAAAGAATTTACTTGGGTTGTCCAAGCTGTACCTACTGAGGGAATAGAGGATTCCAGGCCCCAGCCCTTTCCATCTGGAACTATTTACTGATCCCACAGCTCATTCATGGCTCAGCAGGGGAGGAACTCACCCTGCACTTGGCTGGCTCCAAACTGGTGCACAGAGAAAGGCACATGACATATCGACACTAAAGGTGCATTTGACAAGATGTTTTCTCCTTCTCTTGAGCTCACAGCACTGACACAGGAACTGATACTAAACCCACTCTTATCAGTGAAAAATACCTGCCTCGTCTCAGAGCAGCAGGATGGGCCATGGATGGTTTTACATCCAAGTAATTCAGGGTTCTCAAACCACCAGGAGTTTTTGCATCAGTATTCTCATGGCACACAGCTAAAATTATGGAAGGAAGAGAGCCTTACTGAGTTCATCCCTTTAGCACTCAGGACCAGGGAAAATTTTACAGTGTATGATTTACTGCCTGCCTGGTTCAGCTACACTATAACTCCAAATACTTTTTTCTATTTAACACTGCTGAAAGCCTCAGTGAGGATAAGGGCAGTTCAGGAGGCAAAGATGAACATATAAGGCAACTGGATGATATATGGAAAATATGAATAAATCTAATTGCCATTGCAGCTGCAATGAACAATAATAACTTGACTTTAATCTGTACATACATATCATTTCTACATGACACTCTACAATAAATAAGCATGGAATTGATGCTTTTTAAAGAGTAGTTTAAAACCCATGCTGAACATACTTCAACCAGTAAGAGAAATGAGTGAGAAAAAAAAAGCTTTGATCCCAAGAACGAAACCTGAAACAGCTGCTCCTACGCATTCCGTAATTTTGCTTCCTGGATGTGAGCAAAAGATTTTATTTCTCATGTACAGGAGACTGGCAACTGCAAAAAGGCCTTTCTCATTAAAACCCAAACATAAGACCATTCAGAATTAATAAACCCTATGACATATTTGAATATACATCTAGATAATACTTAATTTCTGGTGGAAATGGTCAGATATTTTCAACACACTTTTTTCTTCTTCTTTTATCACTAAGATTTGAAACAATTTTTCCTGTAAAATCTAAAGATGCCAAATGTTCATGAGAGTAACAGAGAAGTCTGCATTGTTGGTGTCAAAATAACATTCCATTTTGGAGCATTGCATCAGGACCATTCAAGGGCATCCACTGATTTTGATTATTTGACTTCTGCAATAGATTGCTGTAATCTACAACAGGTTTCTCCAGTTGCTCTTTCAAAGAAAATTCTTTAAAAATACAACCAGATACAGAGAAAACTGGTTTAAAAACACCTCGCTGAGCTGAAAAAGTTAAATAAAAGCCATTCTCACTGGCTGTAGAAGAAAAACTTGTGGCATGGACAGCAAGCCACACAAAATGCTCTCTTTACTCCATATTTAGAGGTTTTCAGTTTGAGCAATGATGACTTTCATTATAAACCCCTAACAAAAATATAGACAGCAAGAAGGCCATGTTTTGGAAACCTAAGAAATTTTAAATATAAAATGGAAAAAATGAAGAGGTTTATTTCTTCTTTAAATTGTCAGCAGGTTTTGCCTGTTGGATAGATTTAATTAATGAGGGATTTACAAATGTCATCTTCTACAGCTTTGGGAATGTTTACATATGTGACTGTCAGAATGAATTGTCCTGTCAAAAACGGAAAAAAGAAATATTTAAAAGTCAAGAGCCTTTCCCATTACTTCTTACATACCTAATCTGTCTCAGTTCACAGCATCTGCAAACTATGCAGCTTCCAAACAATCCAGCAGAGTACAAAAACCAGACACGCACACAGCAACAGGTCCCAGTCCCCTGCCAGCTGCCAGCATCTCCATAATCTGCACAAAGCTGGGCAAACACGGGGTTCAGGCACACACCGAGCTCCAGCAGGGTGTTAATAAAGGGTCTAACAATGAACAAAAGAAATGTTGCCCTCAGGAAATGGATGGATGGGCTGCATGACCTAATGAGCGGATACTGATCCTCCCACGCACGGGGGATCGCACACCACAGCGAACATCATCATCCTGACAGCAAACAAACCCTCAGCTGCAGGGCTGTAACCCTGTTTGACACCACCAACATCCACCTCCAGCATCTTCTCGCCTTCACACAAACTTTTCTTAACTACGCTGGGGACCACAAAGCTGAGGCTCAAAGCGCACTGGAATGGGTGTAAAACAGAAAGAAATTCCAGATTTTTTTTTCTCTGATGGGGACAGGCCACCCTCAAGCCTCAGGGTTCATTTGCTCCCAGGGACTGCTCCGTGTCCCAAGCGCTCCTGCCAAGCCTGCCAGGAGTCCTGGCATGCCCGTGTGCCCGCTCCATGCTCCTGGCCACCTGCCGAGGGCAGGTTGGGAAGGGAGCACCTGTCACCAGGATGATGTCCTCAGGGTCACTGTCTCCTTTGTCAGTCACACCCTTCGCACCCAGCTCTCCCCAAACCCCCCGTGGGCTCCGAGGGACTCCCTGCCCACACAGAGATGGGCTCAGCAGCGAGAGGCTCCTGCTGGGCCACCTCCTCTTGCAGCCTGGGGAAATCCCACTGCCAGGAGGAAAAGTGAGCCTGGACCATCTCCTCTTGCAGCCTGGGGAAATCCCACTGCCAGGAGGCAAAGTGAGCCTGGACCACACCGAGTCAGAGCGGCTTTGGAGCTCCCGGAGCAGAGCGAGGAGGAGGGACAGGGAAGCGGGGCTCACATCGCGCCACGGACCAGAACTGAAGGGAAAACTCGAGTGACAGGAGTGTCAGGGGAAGCGGGAGAGTCCCGAAGCCCGTGTGCCACCCACCTGGTACTCCTCCAGCTCGGCGCCGTGGCGGTCCTGCAGGGCCAGCATCTCCTGCTCCAGCCGCTCCCGCAGCGCGCACAGCTCCTGGCCCTGGCGGTGCAGATCCTCCAGGTGCTGCCGGCACTGCCGGCTCTCCTCCCGCAGCAGCTCCAGGTTCTCCCGGTTGCGCTGCGCCTCCTGCTCCTGCAGCACCTGGATCTGCTCCTGGTAGCGCAGCAGGGTCTCCCGGCAGCTCTGGTTGAGCAGCATCTCGTAGGTCTCCTCCAGCTCCTCCAGGCTCAGCCCGGCCAAGGGGGGCGGCAAGGCGGCCAGGTTCAGCCGCAGCTCCCGCATCTCCACCGCCTCCCGCCGCTGCCGCTCCGCCATGTGCCCGTGCTCGGCCTGCAGCTCCAGCAGCAGCTCCTCCAGGGCCACGCACTCGCCCCGCAGCCGCTCCAGCAGCGCTCGCTGCCCGGCCAGCTCGGGCTCCAGGCGCCGCCGCATGCCCAGCACCTCCGCGCCCAGCGCCCGCAGCTCCTCCAGCTCCCGCCGCAGCCCGTCCCGCTCCAGCTCCGCTTCCAGCTTCGCCCGGCTCAGCTCCTCCAGCTGCATCCGCAGCCAGGCCAGCTCCTGCTCGGGCACCTGGAGCCCGATCAGCTCCTGCTCCCGCAGCTCCGCCAGCTCCCGCGCCAGAAAGCGGTTCTCCTCCTCCAGCTCCCGCACGCGGGTCACGAAGACCCGCAGGCGGGAGTTGAGCTCCTGCAGCTCCCTCTTCTCGTCCCATCCCGGTTCCCAGCGCCGCCACATCTTGCCGGGCCGCGGGGTCGGGGCACGGTGGCCCCGGGGCTGCGGGCGCTGCGGCGGGAGCTGCGGGCAGTGCGCGGCACCGGGACGGGCCCCGCCCCTCGGCCCCGGCCCTCAGGCACGGCCCCGCCCCCGGACACTCGGCCCCGCCCCTGGCCCCGCCCTCTGCACCGCGGCTCCCCCTGCCGGGCTCATGGCGGCTCCCGCCAAATTCCTGCGCGGGGCTGAGCCCGGCTTAAGGAGCAGGGACCGGTTTAAGGAGCAGAGCCCGGCTTAAGGAGCAGAGCCCGGCTTAAGGAGCCAAGTCCTGCTCGGGGAGCAAAGCCTCGTTCAGAGAGCAAAGCCCTTCTAAAGGAGCAAAGCCAGGCTCGAGAAGCAAAGCTGAGCTCAGGGAGCTGAGTGCCGCTCAGGGAGGAAGGCCAGGCTTGGGAGGTAAAGTCAAGCTCGGAGCCAGTCCTGCTCGGAGAGCAAGGCCCTGTTCAGTCAGGAGCCCAGCCGTGCTTAGGGAGTTCCCACGTTGCTGTCCTGATCCCCTTTCCTCGGCATTCCCGTTCTCCTCCCTGCTGGCACCGCAGTGTTGGGGCTCATCCTGCGCTCCCAGCACAGCCCTGGCTGCTCTGCTCCCCGCCAGGGATTTCTGGATTTACCCTCTCTGCCATCCCCTGCTGCTATTACTGCACCCTGGCCGGGCTTATGTTTATATAAAGCGTCAAATGCCGCTTCATAACACTACTTTTAAGTGGAACACCTCCAGTTTTGACTTGGTGTCACAAGCATAAACCTTTGCCCGGCAGAAGAACATCTCACCTCGGGGCCGAGGCGCCTGCAGCCTGCACGTCCCTGGGCCCGCTTGTCCCGGCCTCATTTTGCACCATATAAGGGCTGGATCCAGCTGGATCCTTTCATTGACTGCCTGGAACTCAGCGAGGAGGCAGTGAAGCATCACACCCTGTATTATCTACCAAATTAGACAAAAAAGACAAGGAGTGACTCATTTCAGCCTTTCTCATCTCCCCAGGCGTTCTTCTCTCCCTCTCTGACACACACACACATTTCTATTTCGCCCAGTGCTGCAGCACTGGGAGTTTTGCAGAGATTTGCTGCTTCACACAAGGCAGCACAGCTCCCACCTCCGTGGCTGCCCCTCAGGACCACTCCCAACCACAGCTCTCTCATGGAAAGGACTGGAATTTGGCACAAGCCCCACAAAGCCGGGATCAGGGCACAGACGTACCACACTGACCTGCTCTGGGCACTGCAGCTCCTTGGCTGCTCTGTGCCACCCTTCCCAAAGCCTTCCCACAGAACTGCACCTCCCTGCCCTCAGAAAGGCCAAATTTTGGCTTTGCTCTCTGCTGAGCAAGTTTTTTTCTAATCTCAGTAAAGCCTCCAGGATTTGAGCCTAACCACCACAGATAAATCGTTGGCTTTGGCCTAAAAGTCAGCCAATTTCGCCTTGGCAGGTTTGCTCCCTCAGAGGTCACTGAGAAGCCGAGGTTTACTAAAGACCCTTGAGTTTTCTTGGCTTTGTGGAGTGTGCGGTGACACTCCAACACCTGCTGTTCTTTTATGAGGGAAACCACTGTGCTTCTGGGAAGAGCTACCTTCCTGTGGTTTACGAGGCTTTTTCTCCCTCTGATGTCACTGTTGTCCTAAAAACCCCGAGTGACACTGGCACCCGCACGGAGCGGCCACAGCCGGACTCAGCGAGCTCCCAGGGTCCACTGTGGGTGTCCAGCCAAATGTCCAGCCCTCAGCACCTTGTCATCTCTTACTGACAGTTTGACTGCTTTCTTTCTGTATTCATAAACTTTATGAATACATCTGTATTCATAAGTTTTTATTATTTTGCCATTGAAAACAGTAGATGCTGAATCTCTGCTTTTATGAAAAATCTCTGTTTTCTTGAGAAAACACCGTAAGTAAATCCCTCTAGATGTGGGACAGCTTTCCAGGCTGGGGGATCTGCCTCTCTGTTGGCCGTATGTATGTGGTGGATCTGCAATTGAGCAAGGAATTTGTGGGCTAGGGCAGGGAAGGCTTAAAGGGGCAAAGTTTGGGCAAGTGATTTCTGAGACAGATCTTGAAGTTTTGTGGCTGGGTTCCAGCACTCAGTGGACCAACAAGAATTGCCTGATTGCTGCAAGTATGTGAACACATTAATTCATTTGCACCTGCAGGAAAAGGGAAAGAAACCTGACATAGTCAACCAATGGTGGGCAAATTAAAAACTGCTAAAGGCTTTTGCTGCCACAGGTATTTCTCCTTCTCTGTGGGAGGAAACACATTGGAGACCTCGATAGAAGGGAAAGTGAAGACCTTCAGCACTTCCGAGGTGGAGGTATGGAGCATCCCTCCTTCCAAGGTAAATCCCTGCTGCCAGAGGCCAACTCCTGCCCCTAGAAATTCAGCTGTGTGCACAGGTAATAGAACCAAAAACCTGGGGAGGGGGAATTTACAATCTTCTTTGCCACTTCAGTGACAGCTGAGGCAAACTGGGGCTCTGTGTCGCTTCAGCTCCAGCGAAGGCCTCGTGCTTTGGCGAGGCTCCTTGTCAGCATCCTCCAAACTACAAAGTGTCACCCTGGTAACTCTTAATCCTGCCTCAGCACAGCTTGTTCCGCGTGCTCTCTCATCTGCAGAGTTTAAAGGATGGAGCTGTCACTGGGGAAATGCTCTGATTCCGACGCTCCTGAGATGGATTTGACGGGAAGAAAACAGGGTTCATTAAAATGGTGCAAGATGTTGTGGTTGCTATTTATACGGGAGGTTCAAAACAATTTTTTGTTTACAGACAGTTCCTGCAATTAGATCAGTGGAGGAATATTCCCCCTGTGGTGGGTGGGAGGGAGTGTCAAGTGCAGTATTTCCCGTCCTCACCTTTTGGCTTTCATGGCCACCCTGCTTTATAACAGAGAAAATAAAGCAAACACCAGCCATTTCCTGTTAAATGAGTATCAGATATATCCCCAGTACCAGCAAAAGGTGGACTTCAGCTCTCTGCTCCCCTTCCTGGGGCTCTACAAAGCCTGGAGACCCTCAAAAACTGGCTAAAATGTTACTGGGGCAGGGGGTGATTCTCCATGGGCCAGAACTGAGGCTCCTCTGTGCTTCCAGCCCTGGGGAATGCTTTGGCACTCCCACAATCCCTGCAGCACCTGAACCATCCTGACTCCATTGGTAGTTTCACAGTTTATGGCTTTATTCTTCCTTTTAGGAAGATCAATTCCCTACATGCCATCCTGTCCTATTTGCACCCCTTTGGATAAATCTTTGCAGAGCTATAACTCGAAATAGCAAGGGCGTGTGGGAGAGTCATTGGTGCATCCCTAGCTGCCACAGCCCCCCCAGCAGAGCACCTCCCTCCTCCTGTGACCTTCAGGTGTTCCAGCAGTGACCTGGATCTCCTTTGGAAAGACCTTTGAAACCAGCAGCCCCGTCTGACCTGCTGCAGAAGGGCCTTCGTTTAGGAGCTCCCTCGGAAATATTCATTTCAAAGAAGGCAGCGGCAGTGATTAAAGCACTTTGTTGCCTGTATCGAGGTGATTTTCCATCCCGGTGAGAGGTTTGGCCACTTCTGCCTGCGTTTTGCGGAGGAGCATTTGCAGAAGCGGTGGCCACCTCTAGATGGTGCGTTTTACTCAGGAGAACTCTGTGCCCGGCCCTTTACATAACTCCAGCTCCTTGTCTGAGGTTGCAAACACTCTCCAACCAAACCACACAGATTTTAGTATTTTCTTGTTTTCTTAACTCGAGAACCTGGCTGCAGCAGTGCAAAAAGAATAAAAATATATGACTTAGATACCTAAAAAAGGTGTATTATGTGGCACATTTGTTTGGACCTGTGAGATACCTACTGTGTGGAATAGCTGCTACATACTGTTGGCATTCCCTGTCTTCTGGGTTCCTTCCTGTGCTAAACTAATCTAATTTTTTTTTTAAATACAAAACTCTGCTCTTGTACGTGAATGCAAAGAAAGAGGGAAGGAACAAAGATGGGTAATACCACAGAGATAAAATGATGGTGATGTTGCAATATTCCTATGCCAATTAAATTAAAATTAATCTATTTTTTTTCTTTAAATACAAAACTCCACTCTTGCACATGAATGCAAAGAAAGAGGGAAGGAACAAAGATGGGTAATACCACAGAGATAAAATGATGGTGATGTTGCAATAACTTACTCCATCTATGGTATTTGTACTTCTTTTCTCTGGACAGCATCTCCCTGCTTGAAGGAACAACACAGGATAATTTAACTGCCCCAGTTTTGGTAGCTTTAGAAAAGCCATGAGGAGGACATAGAGAATTAACATCACTAATTTGGGGCTGGGGATAAAGGCCATTTGGTTTTGCTGCTTTTTGTTGGAGGTTATTTTATTTTATTTTATTTTTAGGAAATGAAAGAACATGTAGTTGTCTTCAGCATTCTTAGGCATAGGAATGGTACAGTTAAATTATCCAGGAGCAGAAAAGACACCAAAATTCTTGCATTGTCCAGCTCTACAGACAGTAATCAAGATGGAATAAATGATAAAAAATACATTAGATTAAAGAATCTGCTGGGCTTTCATAAGCTGAGATGTTCTTCACAACACAGGTAAGGAAATTGCTTGTGCTTCTTCAATGGGTCCAAGATTTTCTCCATTATTTCTAACCTGAAATTGCAGCTTTTAGAAGCTTATGAAAAGGCCACGTAGGGAATAAACTCTTCCAGTGCATTATGAGTAATATCTACTTCTCCTGTTTTACATCTCAGCCTAGCGACAGAACTCCCTTGTAAATAAGGGTTATTTCCACTAAAAGGCTATTATGAAGTTATCTCTGATGCCGAGGCTACAGTCTCAGCTCCCAGGCGTAGAAGAACACTTTAGGATATAAATAGCTTTGTTCCGCCTGTTTAAACACCCTGTTTTGTGCAGGAGCAGCCCGGGGAGGAGCGGGGACACAAGCGGGGCTGCTGCGTGCGACATTCCGCAGCTCCGAGAGGCCAGGGGCAGAGCCGGCCTTTCATGTGGTTATCGCAGGCTGCGGCTCCAGGGCTTTCACCGGGCTTTTACGAGGAGATTGTTCCTCCCGATAGCCGAGAGGCC